TGCGAAGAGGAGTCGGAGAAAAATTGGTGGGTGGGGGGGGGTGGGAGGGGAGCCGTGGTGTTATCGGTGAAGTTGGGTGCGTTTGACCGAGCAAGTGGGTCTTGGGAGTGCCTCCAACAGCCCTGGAATCAGATAGCATTTTGACAGATTGTTTTAAAAAATACTGTAGACGCAGAGAGGTGAGGGGGGGGGGTTGGGAGGAATTGTAAAAAAAAAAATTGGGAGTGTCTAGATAACAACACATTCTGTAAACTTAAACAAACTCGGCAGGAACATTCATGGAATTATATATATATATTTTTTATGAAGTTTTTCATTGTTTTTGCCGTAGGTGTTATTCGTTGAAACACGCAAGCTCCGTGGAGTGTGAAACGGCTCTCTCGTCTTTGGAGATACGGGGAGGGATCAAATTCTTAATATCCGCATTTGAAAATGAAGGCCTACATTCTGTGTCGCCTCTCATTATCCATTTTAACGTTGCTGTTGACCGAATCGATTTGACGCATCTCTGAGGACAACTGCTGGCTGGCTGGGTAGCTCTTATCCGCTAATAAATGCGGATAACAGGTTGATTTTTTTCGCTACTTCCTTGACACCAAATGGTTTACCGCAAGAACAAACACGGCAGGATGGATTTTTTTTTTAGGACAACCACTGTTGACTTCTCCGCAAAAGCGTGCCCATTTCAGAATCTGAATATTTATTCTGGAGGAATCTGATGAGCTCTGAAGCTCTTTGATGGGTGAGTCGACCCCCCCCCCCGCCCCCCCAACGAGGATATGAACTTGCGATTGCAAGCCGAACGCTCAACCGCTGAGCCACCTCGCCGGATGACTTTTTCCCCGTGGATAATTCATAATAATAATAATGCAATTTATAATCATTAGTCATTGCAGACAATCGAATGAATTTACCACCACTTCTGGGTGGCGAACAGTAAGAATCCTTCCACATGCTCGGATATTCTGCGGATCATTTGGGGGCGGCGGGAGGGGAGAGATTGTGGGTTACGTGGCCACGCGCGAGAGCAGATGCTGCACTGCTAATTAAACGGTTCACGTCGGACCTAACCCAGTTCTAATCGTCATCATCACCACCACCACCGCCACCATCAGCCGTGATCTATCCACTGCTGGGTAAGGGCCTCCCCAAGCCATCACCATCGTCTCTCGCCTTCCTGCAATGCAGCGGCGCCTGCTCGCCGGGTGACTTCTCCAGCTCCCATCGTCCCATCGCCACCTGGTCGACGTCCTCGCGGGCCGCGTTCCCTCCCTGGCAGAGGTCGCAAACGGGTTTTGATTCCTTACCCGTACCCGTACCCGGCCGCACCAGGGTCGCAAACGGGTACCCTACCCGTACCCAGCCGTACCCGTACCCTACCCGTACCCGGCCGTGTACGGGTAGGGTACGGGTATTGGGTACCCGATTACGACCTCTGGGATGAAGCCATGTTGCAGGCGTGGGTGGGTTGATTCTAGGAACTTGAATTGTGAGAAGAGACAAGACGTTGGGAAATGAGTGACAAACGGTGACTCACCAGTGACTCACGGTCTACCCATACCCGTACCCGGCCGCACCAGAGTCGCAAACGGGTACCCGTACCCGGCCGTACCCGTACCCTACCCGTACCCAGCCGGGTACGGGTAGGGTACGGGTATCGGGTACCTGATTGCGACCTCTGGGATGAAGCCATGTTGCAGGCGCGGGTGGGTTGATTCTAGGAACTTGAATTGTGAGAAGAGACAAGACGTTGGGAAATGAGTGACAAACGGTTACTCACCAGTGACTTACGGTCTACCCGTACCTGGCCGCACCAGGGTCGCAAACGGGTACCCATACCCGTACCCGGCCGTACCCGTACCGTACCCGTACCTGGCCGGGTACGGGTAGGGTACGGGTATCGGGTACCCGGTTGCGACCTCTGCTCCCTGGGCTGCCGCTCCTCCGTTAGTCCCCAACCCCGGGCCGTCGTCCCTCCTAGCGGCCGCGTGCTCACCAAGCCCCCGCTCGCCTCTCTTCAGCGGTCAAAGTTATACGCCGTGCAATTCACTTATCCCTCCAATCCACGCGGTCTGCTCTCCGTCCCTCGGTGTAATTCCAAGCGTGCCCCCCACACACCCCTCATTCCCCCCAAGCTGTTCCGTTGCGCACTTTGCAAGCTCTGTTCTGCGTGCTCTTTGTCAGTGCCCTTGTTGCTGTACGTCGGTAACGTACACCGCTAATCAAACGCCTTCGCTGGTGACCCGAGAATGAAAGTGCCGCCCCCGGTCTCAAAACCCCTTTCGGTCGCGAGGGTCCTGCTTGGCAAATACTCGGCCGCCCCCCCCCCCCCCCCTGTCATTGTTGAGTAGAGTTTATTTATTTATTTTAAAAATGTATCACCCCCCCCCGCCGCCAGCCGCCAGCCCTTTCTGTGTGCGAGTGGGAGTAAGCCCGAGTACCCGGAGACGACCCACGCGCGTAACGATAACACGCTCGCGTCGATAAGACCCAGGCTCAAACCGTAAAGAAATTGGACGTAGCGGGTGGAGGGGGGGGGACGCCAGGAGGGGGGCGGGGAGACGCAGGAAAGTTCGTCTCGACCCGGACCATGGGGAAGGGGGGGGGGGTCAGGAACCAAAGAGTGGAGAGTCGCGATCGGAGCTGCCCCCCCCCCCCCCGCGATGTGTCCGTTCAAAGCGCGCGCAGAGAGTTTGTCTTCGGGGCTGATTTGTAGTTTGAAGGCACACAGTTACTGGTCGCGAAATACTCGCAGAGGGCTGTGAAAATTTTTCACACCCACGTGTTTGGATTCTTTCTTTCACATGCTCATTTTTTAGGGAGGGGGGGGGGTTCGTAGGTTGCGGCGGGCGGGGGGGCGGGCAGGGCGAGATGTGTGGATGAATCCACGCAGCTTTTTTTTGCTTAAATATAGAAGACTGCTGTGTGCTTGCACGTGCGTGATCGCGCGCGCGTATTTTGCGGGACGGTGGGAACGGCGGCGCAACGGTCAGCGCGCCGCACTCCGAACACCCGGCGGAGCCGAGTTCGGCTTCCCGCTGACGGCCATCCTACGGCGACGATTGCCTGCACCCGTTCCTGGTCCTCCTTTCGTGCGACTCGGCTTTTGAATGAGTACCGAGTCACTGACTTGTAAAATGTTCGTACTGCGGGAGAGAAAGGCGGCGGGACGTGTCGCTGGCCACACAGCCCCGTCGCGCGTAATGCTTGCCTCTCATCAGCGCTCGCTGACAGCACTTGCCCAGGCGGTCGGTTAAAGGCTACACGAGCGATCTTTGTCTTTGTGTCTGCGAGCACTTTGTGTCACGGCCGAGGCGTCGACGCCGGTGTCAGTCGATGTACGAAGCAGGCCTGGCCCGTTCCATACACTGTACTTCCAAGTTAGCCATGCAGCAACAACGTTACTCTCAGCAGAGTTCACAAGAATGTACACAATCGTCGTTGCAAGCCGCCTCGGCATGCTCGCTGTGACGGCGGTTCTCAACTGAGGGGCAACGTCCCAGGCGGTGCGGGAGGTGGATTTATAAATGTGTGAAATTGTGTCGTACATGAGAATCATCGGTCAGTAATCACGTATGAAACTGCCAATATAAAATAAGTAGCAATAAAACCTAGAACGAAATTAACGACCTTTCTAAACTCACTGATCAGTACACAATGTTGGTTTCCAAGAGGAAGCAGCGAGCGCGAACAGTTTCCATCGCGCACGGCAGAGCGTCCGTTGAATTTTTTTATGTAACTCGTTTTCTTTTACTAGCTAGTTGGGATACCTCACGAGATGGACCACCGGTGAAAATAGTTGATGTTTTATTACACGTAACATTTATTTCTCAGAACCATGTCGGGAGAGGCAAGGCGAAAGGGGCGATGGGGGGGGGGGCGGTATTCACTCGGTGGAAACGGTTGAGAACCCACCATGGCCGTTTCCATCAGCCCAACCCTGGGTAGCGTTTCCTTCACGAGGCCGCACCGCCGATGAGAGGCGTGCCCCTTTTCCACTGCCACATCCGAGTTGTGCCGGCACGGCTTGGGGCTCTCGCGGTGCTACGGGTGGTTTTCGATTTAAAGCTTTCGTGACTGCAGGGATTCATCTTCTTGGTTCTTTCGGTAAAGTCACGTAGAATGGAAATAATAAAATAATAAAAATAAAACATAATAAAATAATTCTCACGACGTTTCGGCCACAACGCAAGCAGCCATCCTCAGGTGGAACGTCGTGAGAATTATTTTATTATGTTTAATTTATATTATTTTATTATTTCCATTCTACGTGACTTTACCGAAAGAACCAAGAAGGTGCTATGGGTGGATTTTCCAGCGCTCGTGTGCCGGTTGTCACGGTCCAAATTCCCCCCCCCCCCCCACCCAAATTTTGATCAATTTGCTGGCGAATTCATGAAATGGAATGAACGAACAGCGAAACGCACCTCCCGCCCACTCGATTGGTAGACAAATGCCCACTTGCTGAACGGTGCGGTGGTCACTTCACGCCGCACAGGGACAAAGCCGCCATTAGGGGGGTGGTTCCCTAGGCGAATAACGCCACGGTGGCTAGGAGATGTTAACTACCTCGCCTGGTATGGAGGAGGTCGTGGGTTCGTTCCCGACACTGACGATGCCTGTATATTTGGAGTTTGCGTGTCTCTCTCTCTCTCCCCGCGGTCACGTGGATTTTTCTCCGGGTCCTCCGGGTTTTCCCTCCACATTACAGAATCGACGTGTGTATTAAAGTATTTGGCTTCTGCAAATTCTCACGTGATAAGCCACTTCGTTGAGCTATAATTTGTGGCCAGGTCGCTTCTGAAAGAGCTACATAGCTCAGTGGGACCTTACCTGGTAAAATAAAAATAACCTGGCGTTCAGTCACCCTACGGGCGCGATGTAAATGCAAGTCGTATTAACATTGCCATCGACGCTATGTGTGGGGGATGAGGGGGGTGGCTGAGTATGGGATGTGGGGGGCACTCAACAGGCGCTGACCGCTTCGTCCCGTCCCCCAGGCTCGCGCGACAGCCTGGCGGAGAAGGAGCGCGTGCTGGCGGCCATGATGGGCCAGCTGTCGGCGCTGCGGGAGCAGATCCTGACGGCGCACGACGAACAGCGACGCGTCGCCGCCTCGCAGGTGGAGCGCCAGCGGCAGGCGTCGCACCTCGCCCGCCAGCAGCAGGAGCAGGCAAGCGGCGAGGCCCGGTGGGGCGGCAGTGGGGGGGGGGGGCGGTAGCGCGTTCGATTCCCGCTCAAGGCCAACACCAATCGGCCCTGGTCCTCCCTTAAGTCGACTCGGCTTCAAATGACAACCTTGTACGGTGTAATTTCGATTTAAAGCTTTCGTGACTGCAGGGATTCATTTTCTTGGTTCTTTCGGTAAAGTCACGTAGAAGGGAAATAATAAAATAATAAAAAGATGATTTTATGTTATTATGTTTTATTATTTTATTATTTCCCTTCTACGTGACTTTACCGAAAGAACCAAGAAGACTTGTATGGTGTGATAACATCGCCACTGGGGAGGCAATGTCGGTGTGGTGCTGGCCACGCACCCCCTCGTGTGCCGTGCCGGCCTTCACTGGTGCTGCTCGCCAACAGCACTTGCCCCAACTGTCTGTTCAGGCTATATGGACGGGGGGGTATCTTTGTCTTTGTGGTGGTTTGAACACAATGTGGAAGAGGCGAAACTGCCAGTCTGGTAGAGCAGATCATCAACAATGGAGGAATCAATGAATGAAGGTCACGGGAACCGTCACCATGGTAGTAGCGATAGCGGAGTGATAAGGAGGCGACCGGCTGCCGTACGTATTGAGCGCGAGACCGTCCGACGCGCGTATACATTTCCATTATCTACGTGGCTATATTTTTTTTTCCAACGGGCGCCCTGTGAACCTACGTCTTGTTTCAGATCGCCCGTCAACAGCAGCAGCTCTTGCAGCAGCAACAGAAGATCAACGTCCTTCAGCAGCAGATTCAGGTGAAACTCGCACGAGACCACGCGCGTGCGCATCGCAAGCACGGATGCACGTTGCACGTCCCCATTGGAACCAGGGTACCCCCTCGTTTAGATGGAGGTGTTCTCGCCAATAACGTGGTAAATTACTCAACTATTAAACGACTACACTTTCTTTTTTAAGGCCCACTGAGCTATGTAGGCCTTTTTCAGAAGTGACCTGGCCACAAATGATAGCTCAACGAAGTGGCTCAACATGATGTGGACATTTTATAGCAGCGGCCAAATACTTTAAATGCGTGATGTTGATTCTAAATGTGGAGTGAAAAACTGGAGGACCCGGTAGAAAAACCCACGCGACCACGGGAAGAGACACACGCAAACTCCAAAATATGCAGGGGTCTGGGTCGGGATTGAACCCACGACCTCCTGTGTACCAGGCGAGGTAGTTAACATCTCGTCACTATGACACATGGCAACCCGGCAGCATTCGTTTTCGCAAGCCCGACTCTGCTGATGAGATCCGGAAGGTCAAAACCGATCGAGCATTTGCAGACAGGAAGTGGTAAGACAGAGCGAGACAAAGCGACAACCTGTGTAGCAGTTTCATCCTCATTAGGACTCACCAGTACAACGGCAACAGTCATTTGAATCTGCAAATAGCACATTAGATGTGTAAATGTACGTTGAACTTCTTTCGCACCGTACTTAGCCAACCGTGATAATCGCCACTGGGGGAGACGAAGGCCGGCCAGGCATGCGTGGTCGCTGGCCACCCACCCCCTCGTGTGCCACAGTGCCGGCCTTCACAGGTGCTGCTACTCGCTAACAGCACTTGCCCCAACATTCTGTGGAGGTAGGCTACACAGGGAGGGGGGAGCGGGGCGGGTGAGAACCTTTGTCTTTGTTTGTCTTTAAGTGGCGTGTGTCATTAAGAACGCGCGCGCACACAATCGTGCTAATTCCAGATTAATGTTTCCACTGAGACATTGAACTCTGTTAATTTCACCACCGGCTCAGGCGGGGGGGGGGGGGGGGGTCGGGCGCGTATGCCCAATCGCTCACACAAAGACAAAGATCCCCCATATAGCCTACAGACTGTAGGGGCAAGTGCTGTTAGCGAGCACCTATGAAGGCCGGAACGGTACACGAGGGGGTGGGTGGCCAGCACCACGCCCGACCGCCTTTGTCTCCCCAGTGGCGATGTTTACACACCGCACCAGGTACTCATTTAAGGCTGAGTCGACCTAGGGGAGGCCCAGGACCGGTTCAGATAATCGTCACTGGTGTTAGCCGTGAGCGGGAATCGAACGCGGGTCGCCAGGTTCATAGCGCAGCGCGCTAACCGCTCCACCACCGCTCACACACGCACACACGCACACACACGCACGCATCAGCGCCGTCCAATCAAACGGCAGTAAATGCCACGATACGCAAACAATACCTGGGCAGGATAAGGATAAAAAAGATAACAGGAACACCTCTCTCTCTCGCCAACCCCACCACCCCGCCTCTCTCTGGCTTATTTTCGTGAACACTTTCTAAGGCCCGTGAAACAAAGTTGATTCTTTTTTCAGGTCATACCTTAACAATTTCCGTGGGTTTTTTCTTTTTTTTTTTACCTGACAATATAACCTGATTGTTGAGTACACGTATCATAAAATCTATATATATATATATGCTAAACAATATACGTGTGCAGTTTTCGATTTAAAGCTTTCGTGACTGCAGGGATTAATCTTCTTGGTTCTTTCGGTAAAGTCACGTAGAAGGGAAATAATAAAATAATAAATAAAAACATAATAAAATACAATTCTCACGACGTTTCGGCCACAACGCAAGCAGCCGTCCTCAGGTGAAGAACAGGTCTGTCGGAAAGACAGATGCTGTCTGGTGAAGAACAGGTCTGTTTTTCACCTGAGGACGGCTGCTTGCATTGTGGCCGAAACGTCGTGAGAATTGTATTTTATTATGTTTAATTTTTATTATTTTATTATTTCCCTTCTACGTGACTTTACCGAAAGAACCAAGAAGATGTGCAGTTTTCTCCGGATTATTAAGATGCACTCCCCCCCCCCACTGCCTCCCCCGTCTGTATTTAAAAATGAAATTTGGGGGGGGGGGGGCGGGTCCATCGCATCCTGTAATCCGGGAACTGCGCGCGTTGTGTGTTTAGGACCAACCTTGCGCTTAAGAATTTCCACGCGATACTGAGCCACTTCATTTTGAGCCATCATTTGTGAGAGCCAGGTCGCTTATGGCTCGGCGGGGCCTCACCAGGTAAAATAAAAGTAGTTTAGTTAGTTGTGTTACCAGATTTGTATGCACCTGGCCGCGGTGACGTCACCGCCACTTAGTGGAAAATGGCGGCTGTTGTTGTTGTTGTGTAACGTTATTGACACTCGGGGCACGCAAGTTTATTGGCTGGAGGGGAGGGGTGTGATGCGTCTTACTTTCCGGAGCGTCTTATAATCTGGAGAATACCGTATCTGTGTCCCTGGTTACAAATCAGAAAGCCACTCCAGAAAAATGAGTCACGTGCGTCTTTCAGCAAAACACAGAGGAATATAGCACACAAGACCTCGGCTGCACTCTTGACTGCAGCAAGATAGATTACATTAAACATGAGGCGAGGAGTTTACATTTTTGTCTATCGCAGGAATGGTGTCTCTACTGAGACACCCAGAAGGGAGAGCATCTCTACTGAGACACCCAGAGGGGAGAGAGTCTCACTGAGACACCCAGAGGGGAGAGAGTCTCACTGAGACACCCAGAGGGGAGAGAGTCTCTGCTGAGAGACCCAGAGGGGAGAGAGTCGCTACTGAGACACCCATAAGGGAGAGAGTCTCTACTGAGACACACAGACGGGAGAGAGTCTCTACTGAGACACCCAGAGGGGAGAGTGTCTTTGCTAAAACACCCAGAGAGAGAGTGACTCTGCTGAGACACCCAGAGGGGAGAGAGTCTCACTGAGACACCCAGAGGGGAGAGAGTCTCTACCCAGACCCACGTGGTTCCGCCTGCAGAGCTGGACCTGTAACAGGGTCATAGCGTGGGAAGTCGACGTTGACATTGATTCTTATCGTTGGAGAACGCGCACATCGATCGGCACTGCGGTTTTAAGGGAGGGGGCTGCGAGGGCCGCGCGTGTGTGCGTGTGCGAGGGAGCGAGGGGCCAAAGTTTTGCATTGAACAAGAGGGGGGGGGGGCACCCATGGGACTGTGTTTATTTCCTGTCAATGACTGCGAGGCCGAGCGTGACGTGGCGTGCGGCGACGCCATCCGTTGGGCTCGCGTGGATTCCGACCCGGCAAACACCACCGGGGGAGAGGTGGCGGTGGCGGTGATGACGGTGGCGGTGTTGGAGTTGAGAGGCCTTCTTCCAGCTGGGGGAAAGAAAAAAAACAACGTTCTATTTGTGCTTCCAGTGTCCACGCCGTGAGACAAAGTGTCAGTTCAAATCTCCGATGATGATGATGATGATGATGGCAAACATGACAGGCGACATTGATGATAGCAGCTGATGATGATAATGAAGATGATGATAACAGTGAAGGTAATGAGAGTGGCGACTGCCCATGTTGAAATGTCGAGACCGCTACGTGGGGATTCAATAGGTGCCACGGTGTCATGGTTGGCTCGCGACTCGTAGGGTCGCCAGTTCGATTCGATCTCTGGGCACGGCAGTTGAAACATCGTTGCCAGTTTCCAAACTTTCCACCCCGCCCGCCGCCCTCACCACCACCTCCGTCCACCCGGCGGTGGTACCTCATGGGTTCACCGCGGTTGGCCAATCGGCAGGTAACGTGTCGGTGTATAGTAAGGGAATATTCCCACCTTTGCAAGACATCTGCCCGGCATGAAAGCGCCGGCCAAAATGCCCTCTGGAGAGGCGCACACGCACTCTTGCTCGCTCGCTCGATAGAAATGTGGATGAGGCCCTTTTACCCCGCCAAGCGGCGGCGTGAACAAGCACTTGAAGTGCTGCGCCTTTGCCTCGCGATTGCAGGGACCCCGCGGCCGGACCCTCGCGCTCACCGTCCCCCCCCCTCCTCTCCCGCTCCTCACATTCCACCCTAATCCGAGGGCCTCCGCCGAAGTGAAACGATAAATGCGCGCCCGGTTACAATCGAGCAAACAGAACCTCCGGCGACCTCTGACCCCCTCACCTCACAATCCCCCAGCCGTGAGGGCGGCCGGGAGGGCGGCGGAGGGGGCCGGGGAGGTGGAGGGTGGGGGGGCAGTTGCAGGAGGGGCGGTCGCGGCGGGCAGGAGGGGATGGTAGGCGGGCAGCCTGCAAGGCAACGTCACAAGGCCGCCCCGTGTCCACAAACACTCACGCTACACTGACCCACCTCTCGCTATCTCCCCAGTGCCCCACGCCACCTCCACTCATCGCACCCCACGTCACCACCGCGCCTGTCACTTTCGTTCAGAATCGCGCGTCCATTTTCCCTGCGCAAGGCGGTTTCCGCTTGGCTTTACGACGACGGTCGCAATTCTACGATGATTATTGACGACGTTGAACGTGACTGCAGTGTGACCACGGGTCGATTTACGGCGCAGAAACTCGATTCGCAATGCGTCTTCCGACAAGGCACGGTTCCCGGACGCGTTTGAACGGAGTCAGTCTGGTTTCCGACGCGAGTTGGCGTGGAGATTTTCATGATTCTCGAGTGTTTTTTTTTTGTGCGGATGTTTGCACCTATTATTAAACCCTGTTAAATACGGCCCATCGAAGAGAACAAAAGAAACACAACTGCAAGCGACGTTTCGACTGTTTTCTACCGTCTGTGGGAAAATAGGAGTCTGGAATACGACGATCTGATTCACGACCCATGGGTTTTTTTTCCAGGAATGCGTCGTGACGTTGTAAGAGCGGGGACCGCCTGCATTTAGCCTCTCCGTTGACCCCCCGAAGGCCGCACGGACCGTGATGATGGCTGTCGTCGCGATATTTTCTCAATCCATTGCAGGGGGGAGGGCACCTGTGCCGGTCGTGGCAGTTTGTTTGGGCATACTTCACCACGCTGGTCGGTGCGGGTTGGTAACGGTTTGGCGGAGAAAAAGGGTCCCAAAGCACCGGGCCAGTATTGACCATTCCCGTATCTCTCGCCACTGATGTTAGCCGTGCCAAGCGCTGGCGGATCCAAATGGGAATAATGTGCGATGATGTAAGGGCCCTGGTTAAAAATGTTGAAATTTCAGGACCCCCCCCCCCCGACTCCCCATTGCCCCCCACTTGAGAAGTGTCAGATCCGCCTCTGGTGGCCAAGGATGTAACTTAAGAATACAAATGTAGACAAGATACCGTACTGATTTGGTATAAGATCCACGGGTCTCCATGACCTGTCAAACACGAATGAGCAAGTAATGTATCACCACGGTCCACGGAAACTTTCACGGATTCAGCAAAGAACCTGGACAAAGAGTTTTATTGAATGCAGCTAAAGACGCATTTTGTGATGCAGTTGACGGGTACAGGGCGAACAGACGGGCAAAATTGAAGCTAATTGTAATTACTGGCGAAACGTCGTACTCAGATTGTAAATGTTGTGGATTTGCTTTCCAACACACCGGTGTGCTGTACTAATAACGAATTGGCATGTCCTGTTTACGTGACAAACCTTACTAGTTGGCTGTGCGGGGTGGTGGCGGGTTTAACGACACATTTATATTTACGCGATCCAACCCACAAAAAACCTATATTATGAATGTGGAAAATTATTGTCACAATTGGAATTGGTGTAAACGTAGAACAAAAGATGAATAGCTTCATTTTGTTGTTGTTCTCATCAATTATTCTGCTCTCCTGATTGAGAACTTCTTGGAAGGCTTTCGAAGCCCAAGGAGGAAGTTCCCGGATGACCTCGCAGGCCTTGACCCGATGAACGAGGGCCGCTCTAGGCGGCCCATCCGCATTCCCAGATGTAGGCATTTCGCCTCTTTTGGAGCCCCCTACAGACGATGAGGCACGGAGCAGTCAGATACAGGGCGGCAGTGTGGGCGTGCCTTGGAGCAAGACGGGGCCTGGATTAGATTCCCTGACTTGTACGTACGTTGAACTTCTTTCGCGCCGTACGTAGGCAAGCGTGCTAATCGGAGGTACGGGGGAAGGACAACAAACTAAAATATAAAAAGAAATTGAAGAAATTTTTTTCTATCTAGATTTAAAAGTGCATAGCTCCGGTGGCTTCCTTATATCGGAAGGGAGAACGCTCCAGATGGCCGCAGAAGCACATCCAAAAGCGCACGATGTGGTGACCGTCTTTGTTCGATGGCCAGCCAGAAGACACTGCTGCTGTGAGGATGACCGGAGTTTGCGTGATGGTTTAATGCTCCTTGACGAGATCCGCTTGGGTGCCTTTCCTTGTGCAGTTTGCATGATTACCCTGTGTTCTGCATGGGTTTACACCGGGGTTTTTTCCCCAGTTTCTCTCCAATAGCTAAAAAGTATGAAAAAAAATCGATGTAACTGTTATTGGCCAAACATCTAAATTGCCTGCAGATTACTCCATTGGGATTACACAGCAGCAACATAGCCACCGCCCACCCACTGCAAAAACTTGGCAGGAACCTCCTGAAAGAGTCTTGAGGCTCAGTGTAGCTTTCCTGGGTAAACAAGCAGCCGATATAATTATAAGTTGTTGGAGCGCATTTCACGTGAAAAAGAGTCGGCCTCCAGAGAATGGCTGAGCAATCTTAAGCCACTGGAGCTATGCCACTTTTAAATGTAGATTGAAAACCGAGGCCAATTCAAGTGTTTTGGCTAGCCATCGAACAAAGACGGTCACTGCATCACGTGCTTTCGGATGCGCTTCTGCGGCCGTCTGGAACGCTCTTCCTTCCGATAGAAGAGAGCCACTGGAGCCATTGCACTTTTAAATAATGTCGATTGAAATCTCATTTCTTTAGAACTGCTGTTTGTGTTTAGTTTGGCTCCGTAAGGTGTGAATGAAGGTCAACAACAACGTACATGCACAAGGGATGAGAGAAATGTAGACAAAAGCTAGATTCATCTTCTTGGTTCTTTCGGTAAAGTCACGTAGAAGGGAAGTAATAAAATAATAAAAATAAAACATAATAAAATAATTCTCACGACGTTTCGGCCACAACGCAAGCAGCCGTCCTCAGGTGAAGAACAGGTCTGTCGGGAAGACAGCGTCTGAATGAAACACCACCAGGCTTAGAGCGTATATTTAAGCTGGGTTGGAGGGGGAAGAGCGCCTTGACAAAAAAATATTTTAAGGCAAAAGTTTGGGGTCAAGGCGCTCTTCCCCCTCCAACCCAGCTTAAATATACGCTCCAAGCCTGGGGTGTTTCATTCAGACGCTGTCTTCCCGACAGACCTGTTTTTCATCTGAGGACGGCTGCTTGCGTTGTGGCCGAAACGTCGTGAGAATTATTTTATTATGTTTTATTTTTATTATTTTATTATTTCCCTTCTACGTGACTTTACCGAAAGAACCAAGAAGATGAATCCCTGCAGTCACGAAAGCTTTAAATCGAAATTTAGAAGCTAGATTATGAATTAGATAAGAGAAGAGACATTGAGATGAGACACGAGTCTTGAGTATCTGTGGCCTGTTGCGCTAAATTCCTTTCGGCAAATTTCCCCGTGGGCTTGGTTGACACTGATTTACATTGTAAACCGGGGGAAAATATCACTCATGATATGCAACCAACCACTGTGTCTGCTACTGGTTTCGTATCCCACTTTACCGTATTCTCCTCATTATTATTTACACTCTGCAAAGTAAGACGCACCCCAAGGCTTGTACCCGTTGTCAGTAATGTTCCCATACAAATCCGGTTGCACGCACGCACGCACGTACACACACGCGCTACACAGCTACCGGATAAAAAGACGCAACCCAAACTTTTGCCTTAAAATGCAGGGGAAAGAAAGTGCCATCTCATAATCCTGAAAATGTGGCACAGCCCTTTGGCCAATCCACTGCTGGATGAGGACTTCCCCACGCTGCGCGGGTCGTGGGGGTTATTTGACCCTGAATTGAAACAAACATAATTTACTGCCCTTTGTCAATTCACAGCTGGATGAAGACCTCTCAGCGCTGTATCAATTATGGGGATTGTTTGACCATGCCTCACCGCGCCTCTCAGTGTGGAATGGTGGTCAGGGGGGGGGTGGACAAAACCGGTTCGGATTTCGCTCGCCACTGATGTTAGCCGTGGCTGGGAATCAAACTCAGGTGACCGACTGGGTTGATAGCGCAGCACGCTGACCACTGCACATTACACTGCTCGAATGTTGTCTCAAAGCAGCTGACGTGGCTGCTGAAACGCTTCGGCAAACACAACAACAAAACCCCCAAAGCTATGTTATTTTGAGTAAATTCTGCCCCGAATCGATTGCGAATTCAAGAAAACTATGCAACAGATTTGACTTTGCGCTATTTTATTTAAGCGGCATTTAGGTGGGGCATCGCCCCGCCCTGTTCCGTGACTTTTTCATGAAACTTTGGGTGGGGGTGGGGGTGTTTCCCACATCTCAGCTGTGAATGATATTGAAATGATACAAAAATTACCAAAACTAAATCTCAGAAGTAGGGACGGAGAGTTTCTCTTCCTGCTCAAATGAACGTTGGGACGGCAACGCATCCCCACTGATGAATCCGAGCCAGTGGTGGATATTCCACTATCCGGAAGCGGGCATTAGTCCCTCTACATAGAGCCAACCAATCGACCGACCAACCTCTGTTAAGCTTCCCGCAGAATTTTGAAGTGGCTTCGTCAACCCCGAGAGGAATGACGAGCTGAAGCCAAGCCTACCGCGGACCACAATTTTAATCTGAAACATCGCCGCTGTGAGTTGATCGCCATCCGCCACCGAATCCGCATTTTCACAGACGGACTTCAGCCAGTGCCTTCGTTGACGAACGAGCCAAGACCGTCGCAACGCACAGCGCAAGAAATCAATTCTTCACCCGGAACGGGAGACCCCGCGGGCCCCGAGCCCAGGGACGCGAAGATTTTGCCGCGACCCTTCGACCTCTAAATTCCCCCAGCGGCGGCATCGCCGACGCATTTATTCACGCAATTTACCGTATGCATGCGTGTTGGTGCTGCTTTTGTGCCCCGTTTATTTCGACTTGACCTTTGTGACCCGTGTGTCGTTCCCATTGACCTTCACAGGGTCAGCTGTCTCCGATGATGATTCCCATTTTCCCGCCGGATCAAAGGGCGATGGCGGCCCAGCACGGCTTCGTTCTGCCCACCGCGTTGGCCTGCAAGCCCGGTACGTGGGCTGTGTACCGACTGCCAATGTTTCTGGGAGGCTCAACTGGGAGACACGGTGGTGAGCTGACGGCCCCTTACCTTTTGTCAGCCCCGCCTTCTTTTGCATAGCCCCATCCACTGCTCAGGTAGTCCCTCCCACTGCTCAGGTAGCCCCTCCCACTGTTCAGGTAGCCCCAACATTTACCCGCACGAGTTGAGCATAGAATAAGAAGATGCGGAAAATTCCGGACATTTAGAAATTACTTTGAGGAAGGCACCCATAAAGACAGAGACTTACTGATCCCACCAGGACTGCCCCAGACAAAACTGGGAAATTTGGTGGCTTTAGAATCGCGTAAGCAGTAAAGCCTGGGCCTAGCTCTCTTGCCGTTGTCTTGAGACGAAGGAGGTGGGGTGCCGGGTGGTGGCGTGGCATGGTTGGCACGGACCCCCTGGTGTAAGGAATGCGATGCCCCCCCCCCCCTACCCACCCCCTTCGTAGCCCACAGCCTCGCTGCCTCCGACCCATGGGGCCGGGTCCCAATTGCACCGCCTGCACACTCGACAGCTGTGCCACCGTTATCGGGCCTAAGTTGCGGTGGCTAGGAGATGTTAACTACATCACCTGGTATGCAGGCCGTGGGTTCGATCCCGACCCTGACGCCTGCTGCATATTTGGAGATTGTATGCGTCTCTCCCCTTGGTCGCGTGGATTTTTCTCCTGGTCTTCCGGGTTTTTGTAGATTATCTGGATGCTATAAAACAAAAACTGATTGCTCAATCGACGTCTGGTAGCGGCGGTGAAGACTGCGAGCAGATTCGAGTGATGAGTACAGAGCTAAAAACGAAGCCGTCACTTTGTGCACTCTGGTGTTATTTTAGCGCTGGTCGGGAGGTCGGCGTTGAGTGTTCGTTGAGCGTCGGTTCCCACGGGAACTGTAAACGATCCATCTGGGGCCTGCCTGCAAACGACCTCCTTCCTTGCAGGATGGACTTTTAATCGAACTGGACAAAGCTGCTGAGCTAATCCCCCCGCTATTTTCAGGGGGTCAGGGTCACGTCGACACGAAGCAGTTGGCCGTTCGTCATAGTCGTCGTCATCATTGGACGATGTCACTTCGTTTGCATCGACGTCATCGACTGCAGGCATTCTCAAATTCTCAAACCACTGCTATTGCTGAATACACCAGCAGCCTTCAGCTTTTGCCGTCCTAATATGCTTGAGGCCATTCCGAACCCCGAAACAATTGGGGGTGAGGTGCCTACGACCCTGCTGACGAACCTCGGATGGGCAAAAACCGGTCCAGAGCTTGCGTGTTTAAACGAGCGCTGGGACGATCAGTCGGTGAGGTCGGTTGATCTAGCCCCTGTAGATAATGGTGGCAGCCTCAACGTCCTCCCTCCCAAAGGCAGGAAACCCCCAACCGTATAACAAGCCACGCCCGGCGTGACCGATAATGACCGCCCGTCCAGCGGCACACGAGATACTTTTTTTTTTCCAACAGGTTATCATCTTATCGGATTTAGTTGAGTAATGGAAGCGATAATCGAGAGAGTGATTGATTTAAACTCTTTTCCTACTGAACGATTTTATTTTTACCAGGTAAAGTCCACCAAGCGATGTAGCTGTTTTTTCAGAAGCGACCTGTCCACAAATGATAGCTCAACGAGGTGGCTGATCACGTGGAAATGTATAGGCTCAACGACCCGGAGAAAACCCCACGTCACCAAGGGGAGAACATGCAAACTCCAAATATACAGACGTCAGCGTTGGTATCGAATCCACAACCTCCTGTATACCAGGCGAGGGAGTTAACATCTTGCCACCGCAGTACGGCCGAGCTCAGGGTTCGCGTTCATCATGGAGGCCCAGTAGGCCTGACTCTTTAATGTATTCGGTGATTTATTTAAGTGAGCATTACCCGAAATGCTCCACCACCGCGAGGTTGTGTACTTTAGGCGGAATGTACAGCTTAAGGAGAGATGTTTCCGTTGCGTAGTATTGCGGGCGGGCTCTGTTTTTTCGAAGAGGGGAGTTGCAGTGTGTGTGTGTGTGCGGTTGGAGACGCGTTCCTATCGCAGTCGCTTCACCTAATCCCTTCCTTTTACCTGTGTTTGTTATTTCTGTGGTCCACAACCGGCTGACATATATACAAACATGCGCACGCACGCACACACACACACACACGTGCTCGTCGACACGTACATACTTGCACGCACGCGCACTATTGCATCAAACATGCAAACGTGTGCATCACTCGATTGTGCATGCACCCGCGCACATACACGTACGCCGAAACGCACACACGTGCTAACTTGCACACATGCGTGCACGCACGTTCGTCCCACACTATCTCACATATGTGCATGCATACATACATGCGCATACACAAACGTACACATACAATATTGCTCATGCATACATACATATACACGTGCATGTATCCTACCATACACGCACACGCACTTATGTGCACACACGCGCACATACGCACTGCACTGTATACTCACCCATGCACGTGTGTACATGCGAACACACACGTGCACAACACGTGCAGTTGAACAGTACTCCCTGCCTCTGCTACCGTCAACGCTGGGGCATGCTGCTACCCCTGCCCTCTCTCCGCTACACCTGCAGGTTAGTGTCAACGCATCAATGTTTGCCGGGCAAGTGACGCTCCACCAATCCATCGATTATTTTTTTGTCGTTCTCAAACTCATCTAATCTTACGAGCTGACCACCACCACCGGGGCTTGCCAGGTGTTGTAGGCGTGTGCACTGCGAGGTAGTAGCCGGGGGACGGTGCGGTGCTAACGCTGTTGAGACATCAAAGTAAAAAGGACGTCGCAATGAACAAGGGATTATATAACCTTAAAATGAAATAGGTCTGTGTCACCGCGCCATTACAAATTGCACACGAATTGATGCAGTGGATATCACATCGCGGTCTGCTTTTCCCTTGCAAGTTTCAGATTTACTGTAATACACTCGTCCTTGGATGGGCAAAAGGCTCGTTCTCCAGGTTTTCTGATCTCCACACCCCCCCCCCCCCCCCCCCCCACGGAGCCAAATCTCTCATTCGTATCGAATTGGTTCCAGGCATTCCAATGTGGAAGGGACCCCATGAACACGTGTCGCAAGAAGCGATGAGGCTTTCTTGGATAATTATTAAGCTCAGTTACTCCAACCCCCAGTTTGCGCCGCACCTCCTGATTTAGCACGGTTGGCTACGTACGGGGCGAAAGAAGTACACTGTACATGTACACATCTAATCTGTTATTCGCCGATTCAAATGACCGTTGCCGTTGTACCGATGAGTCCTAATAGAGACGAAACCGCTACACGCGTTGTCGCTCTGTCTCGCTCTGTCTCACCACTGCCAGTCCGCAAACTCTCGATCGGCTTTGACCTTCCGGGTCTCATCAGCAGGCTTGCTAAAGCGAATGCTGCTGGGTTGCCATGTATCATCGTGGTGAGATGTTAACGACCTCGCCTGGTTTACAGGACGTCGTGGGTTCAATCAACATACGGTGCATGCATGCACAGGAGACCATTCACATCCTTTGTCAAAAATGCTGTGAATCGTAACCTCCCCCAGCGGTGTTCCGCCATTGTTGCGAAATGCATTTTCTCGTCAAGTATTGCAATGAAGCGTCCTAGTTTCGTTCACGTGGAAAAGGGGCTACTGATATGAAGAAGAGAAGAAAGAAAACATACATTTAGCAGGAGTAGGAATTGAACCTTGGAAAAGTGGCTCGGTAGCAAACCCGTGTTTTGTTGCACCCAAGCAGGAGCCTCCCCCATCTGTGAATTTGGCCGCCCCTTTTTTTTTCGCTTTATCATCGCTACGACTTTCCAGCGGCGGTAACAAGCGAAGCGGCGAGCTCTATCTACGACTAACAGCTCAATTGTCCCGATTTCCCAAAGCTAACGACCTTCCCCGTGGCCGCCTTCCACGTGTGCGACAGTTCCTGGACCTCTGACCTACGTGCGCACAAAATTAGCGCCGGCGTTCACGCGCACGCCAAACACTGGGACATTTCCCCCTGAGCAATGTTTACTAAAACTTATCGGGGCGAAAGTGACGGGCAAGGTGGTGGGTGGGTGGGGGGTGAGGCCTGAAAAAGATTGGCAAAAATAAACTCCTCCTACAACGAATTTTACGACTGCTGCCGTTCGACTGCTGCCGTTCGCTTGGGGTTTGGGCCGCCTCTGGCAGGCAAGGCCATGCGCGCCGCCATAAATGGGCACCTTTATTTATTTACTTCCAGGAGTTAACAATAAAGCACCAGTGGTTCTTGTTAACCTGGGGGTGCGTGATGCCCTATCTGGGGGGGGGAGGGGGGGTAAGCGAGACACGGGCAGATCTTTGTTCGAAGGTAAATAATCGAAAACGCGAATTAAGCACGGGCATGTCTTTCGGTCAAGTCACGTAGAACATTAATTTTTTCACAAAAAACTACGACGTTTCGATCGCAACACAAGCAATCGTCATCAGGAAGGATAAAAAAGTAATTTTTTTGTTAATTTTTTTTGTTCTACGTGACTTTACAAAGTCAGTACCAACTTTCTTGGTTTCATCAAACTCTGTGTATTTATTAACATTGCATACATTGTTTTTACGATTGAGAAAAAAGGGATGCAAGGCTGCAGTAAAGGTTAAGAACCACTGCAATAAACATTTTTACATTGAGGGGCAAAGCGAACACTGCCCCCCCCCCCTCTCCAAATACAGAAGTCAAACTCCGCCTTTGACCTTGCATTTTGCTATTTATTTGTTCACTTTCAGCACGCTGGCAATCATGTTGTTGTTGCTGAGAGATGCCAGTGCAGGGAAGAGGCCCCGATTTAACGCCACCGGTTGCCGCTACGCTGGGGTCGGTTGACTTTCTCGAAGGGAATCGGAGCGCCGTGCATAGCCAGCCGTGCACGTCGGAGGTGCTCGCGGGGTTAGAACGCCGAGGGGCGAGAGCTGCTCATGACCCCGGGTTCAATGTGGGCAGCTGCCCCAGCGGTGTTACTCAACCTTCCGTGATACAGGTTTTTTTGGGGTTAGATCGCGTAAATATATAAATGTGTCGTTTAAAAACCCGACACAGCCAATTAGTAAGGTTTGTCACGTAATCAGAACGTGGCCAATTCGTCACTAGTACAGCACATCGGTGTGTTGGGAGAGCCAAGCCACAACATTTACAGTCTGAGTACGACGTTTCGCCAGTAATTGCAACCAGCTTCTTCAGGCGACAGACAGATTTGCGGAGAAGTTCACCTGTTTATCGATAAGGTTTCTCAACTGTATAGGTATGGGGGACTTTTTACCCCTTGCGAGTGTAGGATGTGGTGTAGTGACACATCATTAGCCCACAGAAGTAATTGATCGTGCACGGGATCCACGCCACAGCCTGCGAGTTTGACGGTTTCATGCCTGAATTAGAGTGTGTGCCTGTGTGTGCGTGTGTGTGCGTGTGTGTGCGTGTGTGCGTGTGTGTGCGTGTGTGCGGGGAGCAATAGCTTTGCAGTTAGGGCACTGTGCTTCGAACTCGGCGACCCCACGGTTCGATTCCCGCTCACGACGAATAACAGTGGCTGTTATTTGAAGCCGTCCTGGGCCTCGGCTAGGTCGACTCAGCCTTAAACGAGTACATCGGCACTTGGGGAGATAAAGGCGCGCGATGTTGGCCAGCAACGCCCTCGTGTGCCGTGCCAGCCCTCATAGGTGCCCGCTAACAGCACTTGCCCCAACAGCCTGTCGGCTACACGGGACATATTTGTCTTTATGTGCGAGTATCAGTGTACGTGTGTGTCAGTGAACATGGGCTTCAGGACGAACAGGTTTAATACCGGCACGTCCACATATCCGTTTCAACCGCTGTGCCGTTACCATGCTGCGCTCACCTCTGACGTTCCTTCCCCTCCCGCACCTCCGATTAGCGCGGTTGCCTACGTACGGTGCAAAAGAAGTGTGGCATATGTTCCACCCCTTGTGGCTACCACTCCGTTATGAGTCTTGACCACTGATTGTCGTGGAGGTCTTCCCAAATGGTTTGATTGGGTGGGCCTTGATTGGGTGTTCATTGATTTTACGTGATTTTTTTTTTACGGATTTCATGTTTTCCCCGCTAGATTTACGCCGCTCACCTGGCCGCGATGCAGTCGCCCGCGCAGTGCCACTCTGTGTCGCTGCCGCCGGCGCCGGCTGGGGGAGACCGGGACAGAGACAAGAGCCCAACGAGCGCCTGCAAGGTAACGGAGTTTGCTCTCGCAGCCACCCCACCCAGCCAGCCACCCAGCCACCCCACCCACCCAGCCACCCAGCCACCCCACCCACCCAGCCACCCAGCCACCCCAACGAGCCACCCAGCCACCCCACCCAGCCACCCAGCCACCCCACCCACCCACCCAGCCACCCCACCCAGCCACCCACCCAGCCACCCACCCAGCCACCCCACCCACCCAGCCACCGACCCAGCCACCCCACTCAGCCACCCCACCCACCCAGCCACCTCACCCAGCCACCCACCCAGCCACCCCACCCACCCAGCCACCGACCCAGCCACCCCACTCAGCCACCCCACCCACCCAGCCACCCCACTCAGCCACCCCACTCAGCCACCCCACCCACCCAGCCACCAACCCAGCCACCAACCCAGCCACCCCACTCAGCCACCCCACCCAGCCACCAACCCAGCCACCCCACTCAGCCACCCACCCAGCCACCCACCTCGCCACCGACCCAGCCACCCCACTCAGCCACCCCACCCGCCTAGTCACCGACCCAACCACCCCACCCGCCCAGCAACCGACCCAGCCACCCCATTCAGCCACCCCACCCACCCAGCCACCGACCCAGCCACCCCACTCAGCCACCCCACCCGCCCAGCAACCGACCCAGCCACCCCACTCAGCCACCCCACCCACCCAGCCACCCACCCAGCCACCCACCCAGCCACCCCACCCACTCAGCCACCGACCCAGCCACCCCACTCAGCCACCCCACCCGCCCAGCCACCGACCCAGCCACCCCACCCACCCACCCAGCCACCCCACCCACCCACCCAGCCACCCCACCCACCAAGATCAACGTACATACACACATACAACCACACTTCATCGATCGGCAGGTCACGTGTGGTGGTGGTGGTGGCGGTGGAGTAAATCCTACGTGCTCCCACCACCACTTACAAGATTGTCTGGCCAGCGTGGAAGAGTAGGCCAAAGAACCCTCGAGTGAAGGAGGCCCCCTCCCGTCAGCAGTAGCGCAAGCCGAGCAATGGCAGGGCTGTGCATTTACCCCGCGTGTCGCTGTCCTGTGTGCAAGGAGGCCCCGCAGCCGTTGAACCTGTCATCGCGCGCTCACTCGGCGGCCTCCTCGATGCTGGAGGGGTTGGGCGGGGGGCTGGGGGGGGGGCCGCCCCCCTCCTCCTCCATGCTGCCGCTGCTGCACGCCGTGCTGGGGAAAGCGAGCGGCGCCAGCAACAATATGGCCGCCTTCGGTGAGAACCCCACAAACCCGCAGGGGGAGAGAGCCACCAAACGTCGTCCCCGCTTCGGCTGGGGCAGGCCCCCCCCCATGGCTTCTGGGGGCAGGCCCCCCATGGCTTCTGAGGGCAGTGTTCTTAATTGCAGGACACCGTAGGCCACTGGCGGCCCCTGGTGGCCTTTAGTGCGGCTCCCGACAATACAGAAGTAGTGAAAACACCCCCATTATATTATCTTCGTGCTGCTGTCACAAAACCCAAGTGATTTCAAATGTGTGGCGGCCCTCACACTCTTTGGTTCTTTCGGTAAAGTCACGAAGAAAAACATTTTCGGTTTCTTTCTACGTGACTTTACCGAAAGAACCAAAGAGTAATTCCTGCAGTCACGAACGCTCCAAATCAAGGCCCTCACACTGATGACGTCTTATCAGCAAAAGTGCCCAGCCCGCTCTGAAAATTAGTGAAGAACACTGCTCCAGAGAGTCCATCCCCGTGTCACCGAGAACCAACGCTTTTGTGTAAGTCTGTTGGTTTTGTCCCCAGTTGAAAGGTTATCTCGGTCTCTTAAATTTTGACATGGTTAAACAAAAGCATCTCGCCACAATAGCGAGATGTTACATACCTTGCCTGGTATACAGGAGGTCCTGGGTTCGATCCCAACCCTGACCCCTGCTTTATATGTGAATTTTGCATGTTCTCCCTGTGATCGCGTGGATTTTTCTCCGGTTGTACGTGTCGTGTGCGCGTGTGCGCGCGCGTGTGCGTGCGTGTTGTTGTATGTGTCGCGTGTGTGTGTGTGTGGGTGTGGTTGTACGTGTCGTGTGTGTGCGCGTGCACGTGTGTGTGTGTGCGTGTCGCGCCCTGTGCAGGAATGCTGCATCAAGGCCTCACGGCCCAGACTCAGCAGCGGGCCCCAGAGGTAAAGCAGGAGCGTGCAGCGAGGCATGATGGGAAAGTTGCTGCTGCACTCATCAACAGCGGCCGGTGTGTCACGGTAAGGCCCCACACCCGAGGGGAGCATCTGGCTCAATGGTTCGGCGAGCGGCAAAATTAGCGGCCACTTTGTGGGGTAGTAAACAGTGGTTGGCCTATGGACAGACTCGCCCCCTGCCATGAGAATGAGGAATTTCCACCATCGGTTCAGGTTTGTGCACAGGTGATGAGCACCGTATCAGTGCTCATCTGAGCATGAGATCGCTCTGACTCTTGAAGGGCATAATGATGCCCATGCAGTTCGATGCCAAGCCATCAGCATGCTCGCTCTGATCATATCTACGTGTAATTATAATTATTGTAATAATGATAATTATCAGAGCACACCTTAGAACCATAACGAGTAGGCTCACATATTCTTGATAGAATCGTGCATATTTTATTCATAATTGGCGTGAATAAATTAGAATAAAATTATAATGCATTAATTTGTAAGAGATTCGGTTGGTGGTTTTATAGTTTTGGTTGTTCCTATGAGATCATGACACTGATTTAAAGAAGCCGGGTAAGGTGACACGGTTATTCTGACTTTCTCAATTTAATATTGACTTCCTGAAGCTTGTTGTGCTAAAGCTGCTTAACAGAGTTTGCAAGTGAAACGGCAGTGAGACGGCACTACCAACGATTGTCCAAGCTCTGAAAATCCTCGAATTATTCAGATGTTTTTAGCCGAGTGGGATGCAACCAGAGCACCCGGAGAAAACCCAACACATGTGAGGGGGAAACACTCTATCCCATACAGTAGGGACAGATTCTATTATTCTAGATTTGAAGCTTTCGTGACTGCAAGGATTCATACTCTTAGGTTTTTTCGGTAAAGTCACGTAGGTAAAATAATAATAATAAAATAAAATTATAACGAATGAAAAATAACTAAATTAAATCACGACGTTGCTGTATCAAGTAATACAGTAAATTTAGCTGTGACGGTCCCACCTGAAGACGGAGACTTGTGTTGCCTCCGAAACGTCGTGATTTATTTTAGTTATTTTTCATTTTTTATTATTGTTTTTTTACCTACGTGACTTTACCGAAAAAACCTAAAAGTATACATTATATTATCCCAAACTCTTTCTGTACCACATTCTCCATTTGAAGCTTTCGTGACTGCAAGGATTCATATTCTTAGGTTTTTTCGGTAAAGTCACGTAGGTAAAACATCAAAATGAATAAAAATAAAATAAAATAAAGATCACGACGTTTCGGAGGCAACACAAGTCTCCGTCATCAGGTGGGACCGTCACAGCCAGATTAGCTGCATCAAGTGAGGCAATGATTCAAGATGTAATCCCTTAAAAGCGAGTTGAGGGGGGAGGAGAGGGGGGGGGCTCATCAGAATGTGGCTACCACATTCTTTCTGTACCACATTCTCCAAGAGCACTGATCTTGACAGTTCTCAGAAACGGACTCTGGTCCAGCAGTGACGAGAACATGACTTTTTCTCGGTGTAATAATGGTGCCGCCTTTCTTATTATGCATCGCAGGAGAAGCTTGCTCTGGAGAGCCTCATGCAAAGGATGATGGGAGAGGCAAGGGATGATGGGAAGTCAGGCCTCGGTGGAGTGGAGCGGGCATCCAGCGAGGAGATGGATGGTAAATGCACGGTTATCTTAACTAACTCTCTCGTGCTTTGAATGTTCAGTGGTACAATGCACACACCTAGGCCTAGCGGGGCATGCTAACCACTGCACTACCGCTCCCCACATACACACGCATAGAGTCACACACTGACATACATACAGACACATACTGACATACGGGCACACCCATGGAGGCACACACATACAGAGATCAAGGCGCAGATCCACATATAGCCTTAGCAGACTGTTGGGGCAAGTGCTGTTAGCGAGCACATATGAAGGCTGGCACGGCACACGGAGGGGGTGGGTGGCCAACACCATGCCCGGCCGCCTTTGTCTCCCCAGTGCTGATGTGTACACACCGCACCAGGTATTCATTTAAGGCTGAGTCGACCTAAGCGAGGCCCATGACCGGTTCGTCACCGGTGTTGGCTGTGAGCGGAATTCGAACTCGAGTCGCCGGGTTCGTAGCACAGCACGCGAACCGCAACACCACCGCTCCCCAAACACACACACTGACATACAACAACATCAACAGAACCCGCCATTCGCCACTAAGTGTCAGTGACGTCATCACGGCACCTGTGCACTTTGAGGCCACGCGAAGTGTCGAAGGCTCGCTGGCAGGAGGTCACGGGACAGACCCGGGTGCCATGTGAGTGACTGACCGAGATGACTCGCATACAACAACAACAACCGCCATTCGCCACTAAGTGGCGGTGAAGTCACCACGACGCTTGTGCCAGGCCAAGTGCACCTTGAGGCTACCACGTGAAGTGTCGAACGCCCGCTGGCAGGAGGTCACTGGGCAGACCCAGCAGGTGCCACGGGTCGACTGTCATACAGACAGACGGACACACACACGAGCACGCAGGCACGTATTGCATTCGTCGTGTGTCTCCCGCTCGCCCCTGCGACAGGCGGCGGCGTGTTTGGAGACGCCAAGGTGTTCCGTGACGGCAGAGGCCGGCACGCGGGAGAGCCGCACATCAAGCGCCCGATGAACGCGTTCATGGTCTGGGCCAAGGACGAGCGGCGCAAGATCCTGCAGGCCTTCCCCGACATGCACAACTCGAGCATCAGCAAGATCCTGGGTGAGCGTCACGCTCGGCCTCACCCCCCACACTCACCCCCACACTCACCCCACACACTCACCCCCCACACTCACCCCCATAGTCACACTCGCGAGCAACTTCGAAGGCCGGTACGGTGCACGAGAGGGGTGGGTGGTGAGCACCACGCCCCACTGCCTTTGTATCCCCAGTGGATATTCTTAGACACGGCACCAGGTGATAATTTATGGCTGAATTGACCTAGGCGAGGCCCAGGACTGGTTTAGATAATCGTCACTGGTGGTGGCCGTGAGCGGGAATCGAACTCGGGTCACCAAGTTTGTAGCGCTACACTACCATTCACTTGTGCACAAACACACAGACTCAAACACACACAGACTCTCACACACATATACTGTGTATCAAGGGCGTGTTCCTGATTTGAGGATTAATCTGAAGCGTTTTAAAAGTTGGCCTTGATACGAAAAGAAATATTTGACTCCGAATGTTGATCCGAAAACACGACGCCACAGGAAGTGACATCATTTCCGCTCTTTTCCCATGGAACGTGAAGTCACGTGACATCGGGTGACATCACTTTTGCCAGCACGAGACTATCACGTTAAACGAGCACGCGAAACAGGATCAGAATATACATTTATACTTAAGGAATCCGATGAGCTGTAAAGCTCTTGTTCATAGATGTCCAGTAGGGGCACGGGGTCAAAGCGTTATAACAACAAACAATACATAAATACGATAGGAGTGCAAAGTATAGTAAAAGCAAACAAATCACTTAAAATGTACAAATACAACTCAGCTATTTTTTATTTTACCAGGTGAAGCCCACTGAGGTATTAACTTATTTTTCAGAAGCGGCCTGGTCACAAACGATCGCTCATTTGTGTCCAATCCCAAACAGATCCAAAAATGCGCTTAAATATGTTCGAAAATCTGAACTTTAAAATGTTTAAATCCGAAATTCACCCCTTGTGCATTCAGTAGACGTACGCACAGACAGGGCCGTTCATAAGGGGTGGTACAGAGCCCGGGGAAAACCACACTCTGTGGACCCCCCCCCCCCCCCCCGACGCCTTCAAACTAATCTGGAAGTGTTCCATCTGACACCATGACGTGGAACCATAGGCGGGCCCCCCGGGCGGGCCCCCACCCTCCCCCAAAGCCCGGGGCCCGGGGCAGTCGCCCCGATTCATCATGTTACCCCGAGGGAACGGCTCCGTGTGGAGCAGAGGTCGCAAACGGGTTTTGATTCCTTACCCGTACCCGTACCCGGCCGCACCAGGGTCGCAAATGGCTACCCGTACCCGTACCCGGCCGGGTATGGGTAGCCGGGTATCGGGTAGGGTACGGGTATTGGGTACCCGGTTGCGACCTCTGGTGTGGAGACATGCGCACGCACATGTGGACAGCGACAATTGGCACGCGCGCGTGCGTGTTAACCGCGTTGCTGAAGCGTGAGCGCTCGGACACATCCATCGCACGCGTAACTTGTCTGAGCAAATCCCGTGGAATTATCCGAATGCACGAGCGCCCCGGCCCCCTCCTATCTTGTGTGCGATGGCTAAGGGGGGGGGAGTGGAGGCTTTTCACTTCGCTGCCATTTAACATTCTTGTGGTTGGGTTCCATGTTACCACTAAATTATAACTCAATCGTGCCATCGGAGTCGAGACACAAAGCACATATTTCATTTTTTTCCCCCTCCAATTTTATCGAAGCCCAGCAGATCGTCGAATTAACAGGACGGACTAAATTTTTGTTGTTTAATATACCGATGAATCAGCCAGGAAAGAGCCGGCGAGTCTCCGGCATTCTTTTTTTTTCAGGAGAGTCCTGCTACGTCGGAATGTTTGGCCAATCCGATGAGTTATTCTTGGGCTTCGTGTGGGGAGCAAACCGTAGAGCCCGGTAGAGAACCCAGCACGGCGCTGAACATGAGGGGGGGTTGACACTCGGCACCGCCACCTCCTGGCTACCAAAGTAAAGCCCCCCGCCCACCCCCCCACGCCGACAACGCCTGGCAAGTCCTGGTGGTAATGGTGGTGCTGTTGTCACCTATTCCAGGGACTCAAATGAGCGAGTATTGAGGCAGTCATCTTCTTGGTTCTTTCGGTAAAGTCACGTAGAAGGGAAATAATAAAATAATAAAAATAAAACATAATAAAATAATTCTCACGACGTTTCGGCCACAACGCAAGCAGCCGTCCTCAGGTGAAGAACAGGTCTGTCGGAAAGACAGCGTCCGAAAGACAGACCTGTTCTTCACCTGAGGACGGCTGCTTGCGTTGTGGCCGAAACGTCGTGAGAATTATTTTATTATGTTTATTTTTATTATTTTATTATTTCCCTTCTACATGACTTTACCGAAAGAACCAAGACGATGAATCCCTGCAGTCACGAAAGCTTTACACTGAGGCAGTGCCCATTTCCCGTTACCAGCCCTGAGCCAGTGGTGGAAAGTCCACATTTCTCTGGTGGGGGTGAGGCAACCGCTGTTGTATTCCACACAAAAGTGCAAATCAAGTACACAGAAGTGAATTAAATTAACTTGTTTTTGTTTTTTAAAGGTGCTGGGGGTGAGTCTAATTCGTAGGACGAACTGCCGTTCACGTCCCCACGAAGTGGCACTCGTTTTGTCGACCCTAGGGGGGGACGATTGGCTGAGTATAAAAAAACCCACAACCAGGATTTGAACCTGCAACCTTCCCGTCATGAGCGGTTCGCTCTGGCAGCGAACCCACGTGGCCTTGGGAGCGAATCGAAGTAATCCTCCGGTGGTACCACGCTTACCAGTGGCTCGACCGTTACACAGAGGTCGCAAATGGGTTTTGATTCCTTACCCGTACCCGTACCCGGCCGCACCAGGGTCGCAAACGGGTATCCGTACCCATACCCGGCCGGGTACGGGTAGCCGGGTATCGGGTAGGGTACGGGTATCGGGTACCCGGTTGCGACCTCTGCCGTTACATGACCGCCCATTGTCGCTGCACGTTCGACAACAATCATTCCTCGCCATAGTACGTTGAAACCTCGTGCGTAGTAAAACAAATAAAGCGACCGGCTAAATCGTTGAGAGGGAGCGGCGACATAGCGGGCCAGCACACCGTGCTATAAACCTGCCCACCCGAGTTCGATTCCCGGCCATGGCCTTCCTCGAGCTATATCCGAACCAAACCAGCGACCTCCGGATCGCGAGGCCAGCGTGCATAAGCGTTTCACCGCGGGCAAAATTAACATTTTTAGAACGTGAATTATTCTGACGTCGTAAATATTCCGCGTTTCGATGCGCGACGATGATCACGACACGACGATGTTGAGCCCAAACGGACGACGACGCGACGTGCACGCGGATCTTCCATCGCACGACGTGTCGCGGGGGATCGCGCGCACAAGCACGCGGCGACCGCCGATCGTTGCCGGTGCACGTCAGCGAGTCGCTGAAAGAAAAGAACAAAACCAACGTCGCGGATCATTTGAAGCAGAACACTGCATGTGTGGGCATGCCCACTTGCGCGGACCTTTAATTTAACGCAAGCTGTGACAATCCGGCCTATTATGCGAGCTGGAAGGAGGAGGAGGGTGGCCACCTGGAAATGGCTTTGACCCGGACAGTCTGGGAATTGGCGCCTGTGTTCGGGCGGCAGGAACTGATCCGTACCGAGATCTGCTACCGGTATTGCGTCGAACTCCATCGCAGCTTGACTGCAGGGGTTTGATGATAGGCCTAGGCCAACCGAGGAACGCGTGACTGGGTTTGGTCTGCAGTGGAAAAGTTGGCGGCGCGGGCTGCAACCCGTTTGTGTGTTTTCGATGCCGCGTTGCTTAAGCCAAATTGCGTTGTGCCGCGTGGCGGCATTGTTAGCGTATTAGAGGAGGGAGTGGCTCCCTCTGAATTAGTGGCACGTGCGCGACACACGGCACGACACGCGACACGACACACCTCACGACATGCGATACGACACGCGATACGACATGCAACACGAAGGCGAAACGCGACATGGCACGACACGTGACACATGACACGTGACACAACACACGGCATGCAACATGACACGCGGCATGACACACAACAACACGTGACACGCGACACGGTTGGGTTAGATCTCCCGCACCTCCGGTTAGCATGGTTGGCTATGTACGTAAGTTCAACTTGCATACATACACGGGCAAATAGAGTGTCGCGCGTTCACCGACAAGAAATTAGAATTGGGATAGAAGCCCCTAATTATAGTGTATGGTCAAACGTCTCCCATGAATAATGACTTAAAGAGGCATTCATTGAGCCCTGGATTACTCCTTGGATGGGCAACCACCAGCCATATAGCAGGAACTAAAGGTTGCTGCTACTGCTGCAGGGCTACGTTGACAGCAGAGGGCGGTGCAGAAAAATCCACTGTTGGACTGTACTACGATCCATCGTCTATGCTCCCCACAGTCACCACCCCCCCACCTCCTCCTCCGCGGCACCGAGCAGCATGACCCACGGCCACCAGTAGAGCGACGAACAAGGCACGCGTTCTTGTGAGAGCACGGTGGCCGCGTACCATAACAAAACACAAATTTGGCGGTGGTCAAATTATTCACGCGGCGCGTGGATGTGTCATTTAATGGCACCCGGGTTAAAGAAGAGAAACCACTAAGTGATGTAATTCCACAGAGGCTCACTTTAAACGGTTTAACATAAACGTATTGTACCTGTTTTTGTTTCCACTCGTTAAGTGGCATGCGGCGCCGCGGTGGCGAGATGTTAACGACCTCGCCTGGTATACAGGAGGTCGTGGGTTTAATCTGGACCCTGACGCCTGACATATATTTGGAGTGTGCGCGTCTCTCTCGCCGTGGTCGCGTGGATTTTTCTCCGGGTCCTGAACGTGCGTTCAGAGTATTTGGCTGCTATAAATGTCCACGTGATGAGCCACTTTGTTGAGCTATCATTCGTGGCCAGGGCACTTCTGAAAACGAGCTATACAGCTCAGTGGGCCTTACCTGGTAAAATAAAAATAGTTGATAGCATTACCAGCTTGTTTGTTTGTTTGTTTTATGCGCCATGAAGAAGGACCATTGCCCGAAACGTCGCCTATTATATATTTTTCCTTTCAAGGCCATGCGGTGTTATTGACGAACCCGCCGATTGTTATTTTTGTCAATTGCACCCCAATGTTCCGATTGTGTTGTCGGCTTTAACACACCTTGCGACGAGGAACCCGTTCACGACACTCATAGGGCATTGCAATTCTCGTTGTTGGAGAACGGGCCCGCGGAAGGGGATAGCACAGAGCTACCTCTGAGAGCCCTTCAAGTGATCTCTGGTCCAGGTGGAGGGCAGCACTTTCCCACCCGCTCGGCATCCGAGAGTAACGTTGGTCGCGCGATAGTCGAGCCAACGTTTAATTCCTGGAAAGCTGGAATTTACGTAAGTTACGTGCGCAACCAAATGTTTTGCAATGGGTTGCTTTTGTTGTCGTTGTGCAGTCACTGGTTACCGGGCTGAGACCATCAACTTACTACACTTGAGAGAACCTGGTTCAATCACAACTCAGTCTATGTCAGTCTATGGGTGTATACGCAAGTCCGTGGGTCTATCTGTTTGATCAGCAGGTGGCTGAAACCTGGATTCTATATAACGGCAGTAGTCAGCTCAGCGCTCCGACCTCTGACCTTTGCGCCATCCGGCCACCTCCCGTGCACCGACGTGTTTATTCACGTGACGTTCTTTCCCAATTTACGCAAAATGACAAATTAATGGTCATTTAAGCGATGTTGGGCGTCCTCCCAAAAACGGTCGAATAAAAATGCTTCCCGGCCAGCAGCGTCACTCACCGCAAAATCCGCGCGTAATCCTTTTGTACTCACACAAATCTCTTAATGTGAGATATTTTGTTTGGGCTTGGGTAAAATAGCAGACAAAACAAGGACCTACCGTCGCCAACTATCACGTTCGTCACGTGTCACTCGAGAATTGGTGTGGAGCGGTATTCTGTCGGACTTCAAGGCACAGACACCACGATCTTCACATCCCAGGTCTCTGTCCCTTGCCATGCGCAACATCAGTGGCCAATTGAGTGGAATATATTGATATCCCACAAAATAAATTTTTTTTCCAGAAAGTTAAGTGTTAAGTGAGACTTTCCTGGTTTACCAATTGCAATACCACAATGCCGGTAACGACGGTAACGGCGTGTGTTTGTCCGCACGCAGGCTTTCGCTAGAAGGCCATGTCGAGCCAGGAGAAGCAGGCCTACTCTACTACTTTCCCTCTCTCTCTCCCACTCTCCCCCCCTTTCTCTCCCCACCGTAGGCTCCCGCTGGAAGGCAATGTCGAGCCAGGAGAAGCAGGCCAACCACTCACGCCCCTTCCCCCCCGTCTCTCCCCGCAGGCTCCCGCTGGAAGGCCATGTCGAGCCAGGAGAAGCAGCCGTACTACGAGGAGCAAGCGCGACTCAGCAAGCTTCACCTGGAGCGCTACCCGGGCTACAAGTACCGGCCGCGGCCCAAGCGCACGTGCATTGTGGATGGTCGCCGGCTCCGCGTGGGCGAGTACAAGGCGCTGATGCGCTCGCGCCGCGAGGGCGGCCCCGCACAGCTCTACCCGCCCAGGTCAGTTCTTCTTCTTCTTCCCCAAGCTGTGGAGTGACCGTGACCTTTGCTGATTGTGACGACGATAGACATCGCTGCGCCGTCATCATCATCATCTTCATCCATAATACAGGTTTTTTTTGGGGTTAGATTGCGTAAATATATGGATGTGTCGTTAAACCCGACACCACCCGGCACAGCCAATTAGCAAGGCTTGTCACGTAAACAGAACGTGGCCAATTCGTCACGAGTACAGCAGCACACCGGTGTGTTGGAGAGCCAGGCCACAACATTTACAATCTGAGCACGACGTTTCGCCAGTAACTACAACCAGCCTCATCAGACGACAACCAGATGTGTGAAAACGTCGTGCTCAGATTCTACATTCTGTGACTTGACTCTCCAACACACCGGCGTGCTGTACCAGTAACGGATTGGCACGTTCTGTTTACGTGACGACAAGCCTTGCTAATTGGAAGATATTGGTCGCGAAAGCCTCCTACTGCGTGTTAAAACGTCATCATCATCATGTTGTCCCTTCCACTCGCGTCTCGCTTACATTCACAAGCACAACCATTCATTGAAATAAACGCCCGCTAATTTCTACCGGGAAGCCAGCCAAAGAGCCAGCAGACACAATGTCATGGGGCCCTTTTGTGTCCACACACACGCTCACGCGCGCCGCCACGCGAGGCATAGGAAGCGAACCAAACAAATGTGCAGGGCCCCCAAGGAGTTCAAGGGGCTCCCGATTTTCTCGTCCACATTTCTCTTATCTCACTCTGCCTCGCTCGCACGTCTCTATCTCTCTCTTCGCTGCGTCTCTATCTCTCACCGACATCTCGTATCACTTCACCGGATCGCCGTCTCTTCTTCATCTCTCATCTCACTCCATCTCTTGCCTCTTGTCCACGATTCTCTCGTCTCACTCCATCTCTTGTCCACGTATCTTTTTTTTTCATCTCACTCGGAATGTATACATTGAAAGGAGGAGGGGAGAATGGGTGGCGGGGTGGGGAGGGGGCGTTGCGGGAGAAGTTGGGGGTGGGGGGGGGGCACCCAAAAATAATATCTGCTCAGTGCCCCCAACGTGTCCACACCACCGCTCGTTGCAACGCCTGCGCACTCGAGATCTGCCCCAGCGTGCCCGGCGGGTCAAAGCCAAAGACCTCCCTCGTGATTTGGTGTGTGGGGGGGCAGGAGGGGGGAGTGTTGGGGGGGGGGGTGTTGGGGAGGCGGGTGAAGCCACTTGCTTTGTAGACTCAAGTTGGTCACCGGTGTTCCGAGGTGGCGGCGAGGAGGGGGCCGTGGGGAGTGGGGGCTTTTAACGTTCGGGTCGGAGAAAGAAGGGAAAGCATTGAAACATCTCACGGCGGCGAATCGCGGCGGAGATTCGACGACAATCCGAGGCTCTCTCCCAGAGGGGAAGAGGAGGAGGGGGGGGAGCCGAGAGCAGTGTTTGAGCTACGACTTCTTAATCCGACGGTTATATTTGGTGTCGGATCCCCCACACTTTCACATAGCGTTCCTTGAATAGAGACGGGGCCCAACTGTTGGCATAGCAAAGGCAACAGTTGTTACATGTGTCACTTCTCCGTCCGCTCGTTCTCCGTGGATGTGTTTAGACGGTGGGGAATGATAATGTGAAAGGCAGCGGACATCATCGGCACCAGCATCAGCAGCAGCAGCCGTTCGTTCTCCACTGCTGGATGACAGCCACCCTTTATTGACAAAGTGTCTCCCCCCAGTCTTGTGCAGCTGCTAAACCAAGTCAGCAGATGCTTTTATTCGTCTTCGTCATACGATCATCGCGGGCGGAATATGAACATACGTGCAAATTAATAAACGAAACAAATAACATGTATGTATTTTTAACTCATTTCGCACCGTACGTAGCCAGCCGTGCAAATCGGAGGTGCGGGGGAAGGACAACAAACCAATAGTATTGACGTTCAATGGACTTCCCTTGCAAAATAATCCTCGTGGTGAGTTTTCGTAATGAGCGAATGTTATGTACACGTTTAATGAAAGGCGTTATCGTAACGAGCGGTTGGTGGGTCACACGGATGACCTCCGGGGTCATGTTTACGTTGTGGTACGTCGGGTAAGCAGATGTTGGCGGTGTTGAGTAGTTAACTGTTAGGCATTGGTGTAGTCGCCCTGGAAAGTCATAACCGTCCTTGACTACGCCGCACTGCTTGCCTTTGAGATCTTCTGCCCATACCACAATGTCACCGTTGTGTCTCACCTTTGGTCGCGCTGTTTGCGTGTTCGCATGTGTGCATCTGTGTCTGTGTGTGGAACGGCAGTGTAGCGGTTATCTCGCTGCGCTACGAACCCGGCAGTCAGGGTTCAATTCCCGCTCACGGCCAACAGCAGTGGCGATTATCTGAATCTGTGGGCCTCCCCTAGGTTGACTCAGCCTCAAATGAGTACTTGGTGTGGTGTGTAAACATCGCCACTGCGGAGACAAAGGCGGCCGGGCGTGGTCCTGGCCACCCACCTCCTCGTGTGCTGTGCCGGCCTTCATGGATACTCGCTAACAGCACTTGTCCCAACAGTCTGTTTTTGCATAAGAAGCAATGGCGCAGTGCATTGCCAGTATAAACCCGGTGAGTTTTGATTTCAGGCCAGGCCTCTTATCAGCGGCGAGTGACGTTCTAACCGTTTGGCTCGGTCTTACACGGAGCACCTTGCTGCGGCGTGAAAACTGTCAGCAGCCGCGCGTGGTATAATTGCCACACCGCGGCCATTTGGGTGCCGAGCCGGCGTTCTCCGTCAGTGCTCGCTAAAAGGAGGCAACTCACAAGTCCGTCCAAGGCTACACGGCGGAGCTGCTTTGCATGGACGAGGTGGATGTAAAATAAAATATTGCCGGCCCAACGTCGGCATGTCGTTGGAACCACATGCCAATGTTGTCCCAACGTTGTCCGAATGTTATCCCAACGTTCCATCAACATTCCATGTGTACCGGGTCCGAAGGCAAACAAAACGCCGCTTTATTCCAATATCTGCAAAAGATGTCAACATTTGCATTTAAACAACAAAAACCCAACCCTCGTCTAACCATTACCAAAACCTCCTCCCCCCCCCCCCCCCTTGTGCTCTTTCCTTCCGAATAGTCCCACGTCCCAGGTGCCCCTCACACAGCCTGGCTCGGTGTATCCTTCCGCCATCGCCATGGTGACCAGCGGTGGTGGCCCGGCCTCTTCGGCGGCAGCGGGCCCCGCCGCCCACTCTCCGTCGCGCGTCCAATCGGAGTGCTCGAGCGGCTCGGCGAGCCCGGACTGTGGCCCGCGGCCCTTCCACGTGCACGCACTGGCGGCGGGCCGCCTGGGCTTGGGCCTGGGCGGCGGGGGCGCCGCCGCGGTGCGCGTGGAGACCCTGGGGGGCCGCCGGGACTTCGAGCGGATGGACTACCGCGGCGGCGGCGGCGGTGGGGTGGTGGCAGTGGGGGGCACGGTGCGCGAGGACGAGTATTACGGCGCGGAGGCGCGGCTTTACGAGGACTACGACGAGGCGCAGGGCGCCGCCTCGGACTACGAGAGCGAAGGGGAGACCGTGCACTCCGACAACGGCGGATTCGGCCTCGCGGGAAACTGACTCCTACTGGGACAACTGTTGGGGGATTGGGGGGGAAGAGTTTTTATAGCTCGTCGGATTCCTCCAGTATAAATAAATGTTTTGATTCTTGACTCCTGAGAGCGAAGGTGGCGTAGCGGGTAGGCGAAGCGGGGTTGGGGGGGGTGTTGAGATAAAAAATTTTATCAAAAAATTAAAAGACGCACGGCAAAAGAAAGACTGATAAGACGACAACGAAGCGCTTGCACGGTCCAAGTTTACTTCGGGTAACGGCAGCGCGAACCCTAAGTCGGTAATCAAAATTAGTAATTTAATGTTGGGCCTATAACGACGAGCGAGAGTCTCGCCGTTGTTGGCGCTGGGACGAACTGTTTTGACTTTCGTGGAAACGCAAAAAAGGGGGGGGGGGGTTGGTTTCGCTGCGTTTAAGTTTCACAACGAGCTCAACGCTTAGCAGTAAAAGCAAATGGACGCGTGCGTTCCGGTGATTTCGCTTGTAATCTTGAGACGACCTCAGTACGAGATGCGTTTTTTTCGTTTGTTTTGACGTTTCTTGTAAAAGGGATTGTTGTTATCAGCAACGGCACACACGAAGAAAAGTGTTGCGAAAAAGTGTTAACTTGTTTTCCCTCTTCTTTCGTTGTAATTGCTGCCTTTCGAGCAGCCCTTGAATGCTTGCTATAGACAAGTAGGCCTAGTGAGCTAGTCCCACGCAACAAGTGTTGATTTTTTTTGACTACAGGCCTCATCTCGGGGCCTTGTTGTTTTGGAATCGACTGAATTTTGATTCTGTAGTCCGCAACTGTTAATGTTTATAGATCATCTTAGACCACAGTCAGATTCTGAACTGTTTTACTGCCTTTCGAGTCTCGTTCGTTTTACTATAACTTTTTTGTGTCATCTTATGTTTTTTAGTTGACATATTAGACCGATTTTATGAGCGACAAAAAAGTAGTCCCGCGAATATTGCTATGGTGTCTCGATTGTGCCAAAAACTATTTTTTGCACGTGACACTGAGTAGCACTTTACTTTCTTGTGCTGTAACAAGTATTTATAGATGAACAACATTGGTGTGTGTAAGTGGGAAGTTGAATAATACTAATAATGCTGAATAATTTCAAAGAAAACTACAAATGAAGGCGTGTAAACTTATGGCCTAGGTAGGCTTGGCGTAAACTCAGTACTTAGATCCTAAGTAGGCGGTTTACAATGCAGTATGGTAATGCATTTTTGAACAGTGGTCTGTACAAGACATTGCTGGTATGGAAAGAATTCAGGAACGTAGTAATACACTACCGATCGCAAATATAGGAACCGCTTAACTTGAGTCACCAAATACTTAACAATGTCTTAAACACTTCCTAGTTTTTTGGCTTTTACCCACTTCAACCAAAATAAATATTTCCAGGAAAACTAAATTCATATTTACCCTCAAATGAAGAAAAAAAATATTACATTTATTCCGTAACATCTCGCCAGGTTTTATGGGTTTGGGTTTCAAAAATATATGGCCCAATGAAATCTAGCTTACTGAAGCCTGGAAGAGTAGGCCATACACTCTCTAGAGCAGCGTTCTTCATAGCAAGGCCCCGCGGGCCACTGGCGGCCCCTGCTGCCCTTTAGTGTGGCCGCCGACGTGCGGTCCCCGACAATACACACATTTGAAAAAATCCTTGCAGGCGGGGTGGCAGCCCTCACACTGATCTGATGTCTTATCAGCCAAAAGGCCCCCCCCTCTGTCAAGTAGTGAAGAACACTGATCTAGAGGCAGTGTCTTGAGCAAGACATTGCAGAGCTGCACCTTTAACCCCCCACTGACGTTCATAACCTACAACGTCATCTGGTGCCCGTTGGCCATGATGCTGGCTATGAAGTGAGCTCAGTACTCCGCGTGGCTCTTAAGAGCGATTTTAGAGTGGGCTCACTGGATTTTGGCGCTTGCGTTCATGGAACGTCACTGGCCCTGAGTTTGGAGACGCGTGCTAACGCCGCAAGGGAGAACCCGCGCTTACAGCTTTGGGGGTCACACGCTCGGCAATGTTTTTGGCCTTTGTTGGAGGCAAGCGCTGCTTTGGCGAGGGCCAACGAAGGCTACCACGGTGCAGCCACGAACGGGTGGTGTGGCGAGGGAGCACGCCCCGGCCGCCTCTGTCTCTCCCAAAGGTGGCCACACACGGTTGACAGTTGTTAAGCATCTGATGTAGCACTTAGTTCCAAAGGGACGTTACTATTGCAATAGGGACAAAGTCCGATTCCTTTAAATCTCCGTGTGTTTAATTTCATCCAGATTCTCCAAACCCCATTAAAAACCTGGCTTTAAAAAAAGATGTTACACAATTACATAATTCGCCAATCATATTCCTGGGAATTTTTTTTTTGCTTGTGTGAATGAAAACGAAAAAAAATCTGGAACTCTTAAAAAAAACCTTAATGTCTTAAACCTTTTTGTTTTTTACATTTTTCAAACGATACAAGTTGGCCTTATGCTAGTGCCTCTACACTACCTTTTGTATCTACGTCCCTCTGCGTCTTAATGAACCTTGTACACGTCTTACGAATTTCCGTACCGCATCACTCCATCTCTGATTACTAAGCAAAAAAAAAAACCCACTTTTCATCTTTTGTCAATCCACTACTGGATGAAGACCTCCACTCTCCTTGTCAGTCATGGGGGTTGGTGAGGGTGAGGCGAGAGTGGAGGGGGAGAGAGCATGCGAGGTCCGGAGACTGGTTCCGATATCACCGGCAACTGATGCTAGCCATGGCCGGGAATCGAACTCTGAACGCCTGGTTTGTAGCACAGTGTGCGTGAACCACGGCAACGTCTCACACTCTCCGTCACGTCTCTCGCCCCTCTTCCTACTTAAGTCTTAAATATATCCACATCATCTCTATTTTTATATATTTCTCTTACATCTACTCGTCTCCCCCCTATGCCTTGCTGTGCCTTTTCTAAATGTCCATCTCTCAAAGTCTTAATTTCTATCTCCCTGGCATCAATCAATACCATCTCACACCGTTATTAAAACAGCAATTAATATAAAACCCAAGGTTTTGTTTTTATTTCTTAAGTCTTAATGTTCTGTACAGTGCAGTATTTTTAACAGCGTCAGAATAATTTATGCATTTCTAGAAAACACCTGAATTGTCTCAGGCCGTTAAGAAAATAATTTTGAAAACGTATTTCAAGTTTTTGTGTTGTTGTTTAACCCTTTCATGATTCCTTCTCGCAGCCCATGGTGCGTAGTCTTAACGACCCGAATATCTGAATACTGTAGAGTCTTAAATCGACGTTCGGCTGCAGACGTTTGTAAATTGCGAATTACAATCACGTGGCCTGCCCCGAGCCCAGTTAAATCATAGCGAGCCCTCTTCGAGAATAAACATTTCAGATAAAATTGAGAGTACGGCCAACCTGGCTTGTGATGGGCCTCAGAGCTGGGATATCCGATGATCAAGCGATCGATCACTCGAATGAACTATCGGTTCGACTGCTCACGAATGTAGTTTGGAGAAAAGAACAATTAAAAAAAAGTCTCCCCTCTGTTCCTCGGCGTGTGACGCTGGACGGGAGGTGACGGGCAGAGCTTGTCGATTCCGTCGGCGCGTAAATGGAGCCCGGGTAAATGTACTTCGGAATAAAGTAGCCGACGATAATTCTAAGTGGATACATCGACTTGATCTCGAATAGTCGTCCCAGCTCTTGGCAATGCACACCCCTGCGACCATTTAAATATTGTAACAATGCAGTGCCCAGGGTTTGGCTCGGGGAGTTACGGACTTCGCCCGGCGTCGCTGAGATCCCAGGGTTTGAAACCAAGTTTCAAACTCCCACAATTTAACCGCCGCTGTCCTCGAGTGTAGGGAGAGTTGACGGCCTCAGCTCGGTCACCCAAATGACGGCGCCAAAAAAAAAAAAAACCCCATAGCGTACAATTTTGGTGTTCGATTCATTTGGAAATATTACAAAAAAAATGTTTGCTTTGATCAGCATGTGCGAACACTTTTTCAGGGCATGTGAAAGGTTTGCCTCTAGTGTGAATAAAGAGGCATATTTGAAGTACCGTAGTCGTCTTCAGAAGCATTTCTTTGACATCTTCCGGGGATACGTTCTGACACTGGGTGGTAACACTGCTCGCTTCAAGAAGTTGGAAATGGAAATTGCTTCATCTCTTTGACATCATGGCAAAAGCACAATTGTAATTGAGTTAAAATCAAACATCCTGGATGGCTGTGTTGAAGAATGTTTAGCACTGCCTGAGATCCCGTGTTCGAATGCGGTGTTCATCCAGCTGTGACGAGACCGGGTTCTCAATGTTAGCGAGTTGATGGCCTCAGCCTGAGTCACCAATGACTGTGCAAACAAAAGGCCATCAAATTATATTTGATTTTAAACTTGCGTGTATGTTGAACTTCTTTCGCACCACCGTACGTAGCCAACAGTGCAAAATCGAATGGTGCGTGGGAAGGACAAATTAAACACGAAAAGCAGTTTTAAATAAATTAGTTTTCAGTCTAGATTTTAAAGACCTGAGCATCAGTGGCTCCCTAATATCGAAAGAAAGAGCGTTCCCAGACGGCCGCAGAAGTGCATCCGAAAGCGCGCGGTGTAGTGACCGTCTTTGTTCGATGGCTAGTAAAAAATGTTCCATGGCGAGCCCAAACACTTGAGTTTGCCTAGGTTTTCTCAAGAAGCCTTAATGAAGTGGCTGCCATCTTTGTTGAAAACGTGGTATCGTCATCATCGTCATCATCATCATCATCTGTCATCATTCACGTTGGTGAGGGGGTCGTCCAAATTGACATCGGTGCCATGTAACCTGCAAATGAAATAAAGACCCAAACAAATACACGCATACTTATTCTCTCCACATTGTGATTAAAGCAAACGTTGGAGATGCGTCTTATGATCCGGTAGGTGTGTGTGTGAGACCAGATTTGTACAACTTTTTATTTATTCTGCCGCTCTTGGTTTGCCCTGGTTCCATGGCCATTTTTTTACTGATATCAGAGCCTAGCCAATGCAGGGCCCTCATAGTACCGATGGTTTTCCACTGACTTTGACAGGGTGCCGTGGTGGCGAGATGTTAACTACCTCGCCTGGTATACAGGAGGTCGTGGATTCGATCCCGAGCCTGACGCCTGCTGTATATTTGGAGTTTGCATGTTCTCTCCGTGGTCATGTGGATTTCTCTCCTGGTCCTCCGGTGTTTCCCTCCACATTTAGAAACATGTGTTTGGAGTATTTGGCTGCTATGAATGTCCACATCATGATGAGCCACTTCGTTGAGCTATCACTTGTGGCCAGGTCACTTCTGAAAAAGAGCTACATAGCTCAGTGGGCCTTACCTGGTAAAATACAAAATAGTAGTAATAGTTTAAATAGAACCAAGCCGTGCTACGCTGTGTGAGCAAGACATCTTCATTTGTCTCTGGACCAAGCCAGGGCAAAGGGGCGGCATTCATCGCATTTGTCACTGCGTTGATTCGGCACAGCTGGGCTTGTGCAGTGGAAAAACAACCCGAGCACCTCCTGGGCTGCATCGGGGCTGGCTTGGCATGGCCCCGGTCACAGCTCGGATGTGCAGTGGAAAATAGGTTTTGTTAGTGGCCTCGTATCATCAAATTGCGCTGCCCATATATCTCATCAATAAGATGGTCAGAATGGCTTGTTTATGATGATACCAATTGAGCCAAATACAAGTGTCCTCCACACTCTATCAAGCACTGGGGCAGTGCTCATTTCTGTTTTGCCTGCCCTGAGCCAGTGGTGGAAATTCCACATTCCTGTAAAGGGGACCGTCAAACAGTTTGGGATATAAGAATTAGTTGTACCCTTTCTGGCAATAAAACAGGTTTTAAGATGTTAAAACACCAAACAGAAACATTTTGCAAGGAATCATGTCTGCATTAACCACACATACTTGTGGTGAACATGAAAACAAAAACATGCTCCGGTAATATATGGCATTGAAACTGATTGGTCCACACCAGAGACAACTTTCTTTATAGCCTAGTTTCAAACAGTGTTAGACCAGAGGACGCCAAAAGGCGAACAGCACAAAGACAATGCCACTATCAGGGCATTTATAGCTCGGGGTGAGCAGCTGCATCATGGGACCTACCAAGAAACCTTTCAAGAAAGGTCCCCCGTGATCGCGTGGATTTGTCTCCGGGTCTCCCAGTGTTTCCCTCCACATTTAATAATCAACACGCATTTAGAGTATGTGGCTGTTATACATTCCACGTGATAAGCCACTTCGTTGGGCTATCATTTGTGGCCAGGTCACTTCTTAAAATAACTATATAGCTCAGTGGGCCTTACCTGGTAAAAATACAAAGTTTAGTTCACATAAGAGCACTGAAAGCGACTCCTATGGCTCGGCTGTTAAGGAGTTCGTGACGCATCGTTGGAGTTGTTGCGATGCCTCGCATATTTTCTGTTTCTCCAGTGACCCAGGACAAGAATGCGACCGCCTCTGCCCTTGCAAATGATTCCCACGCCGCCACCACCACAGTTGTTGTTGTTCGCACAGTGCACGGCAACAGTTGAGCAGTCTAAAGAAATTGCACAAATGATTTGGTCCTGCGTTGGCATCGGTAGTGGCGGTGGTCCACAAGCACAATTAACAACAACAACAATAATAAAAACCTCAAGTAATTCGTCAATAACACCACGGCCTTAAAATAAAACAATAAATAATCGGTGATGTTTCGGGAAAAAGCCCTTCTCGATGTTGCCATGAAGAAGGGTCATTGCCAATAACGTCACGTATTATTTGTCGTTCGCGTTAAGGCAGCGTTGTTGATGGATGTGTCGAGTTCATTGAGCAGTTTAACGGAAAGAGTAAAAGCAAGAACAATAGTACAAACCACAATCGGATGCTTTAACTTAATTTTTCGGATTATGGGATGCTCTGAAAGTAAGACGCACCTCAATCTTGTTCCCGTTTTCAAAGTTCTAGAAATCTGGTCTCACATGCACTGACACACCAACACATATACATACCGCATAGCTTTATATTCTTGATTCCTGCATGAAAGAATTGTTTTTTTTATTCATATACCTTGCATGCAATAGCTGCATTTAACCCTTGCTGCCACGAGAGGCCCGTTACATTGACCACAAGTTCGGGCCAAATATTGTGGGTTAATCTGTTAATAATTAAAAGTTGTGAAGCCAGCCAGTGTGCCCAGCCATCCATCAGCCACCCCAATAATCAATTAGCCAACCTAACAACAGACCAAAATGTCATCCAATTAGCCAGCCAATCGGCCACCTAATAAACAATCCACTCAATGACCAACCTAATCAGCCACCCAGTCTGTCACCAAATTAGCAATCCATTCAGCCAGCCAATCGGAATCCCAAAAATCCATCAATTTTGCCTGCCAATAAGCCACCTAATCAGGGGTGGTTTCTTCATTAGGGCGATTGGGCGACGCACCACCAATGTCATTGAACCACAGAGTTACGCGAGACGTTACTGTGCCTCTGGATATAGTCCAATCAGCGTCATGTCACGTTCTGTGGAGTACCGCCTCTTTTTGGGCGATTTCACTCTGGCTGAGAATCGCCCAGAGTGTTCCCATAGACTTACATTCAAAGATATTTTTTTTCGAACGGCGGGCGCTCCAATGCATTCTCTATGGCTTCCGGGAGGGCTCGCACTAACGTGCTTACGTCATCATACGTAAGCACGTTTCAGTCAACAACATTATTTGTCGCCACCTAGTGGAATCTTTAATAAAAGAAACTGAGTGGATTGTAATAATAGTGAGTATAGAAACAAACAAGATGTATTGTAAGAGTCACTTTATTTTTCATTAATATTAAAGAAGTGAAGTTGCCTTTACATGCTTAAGCTGTTAATTTATCCATTGCATCGGTGGACCTTATCCTTATCAATCATCCAGACATTTGCCCCCCCCTGAGAGATTTTGCAGGAGCCGCCACTGCACCTAATTATCCATCCACCCAATAAACAAGTCAACAAATCAGCCATCCCAATCAACTACTGCTATCGAGCCAACAACAATAGTTTATCAAAAAGAGAAGAGGGCCTTTGCGATATAACAGCAATAAACAAATCCTAACTCATAACAGTGATTCTAACAGTGAGCTTACGCGACGAGAATGATAACAGTGACGTATGGCGTTGTGTCTGCTGTAGAACATTGGGTATTCTCTCTGCCTTGTGCATGAGAACAAATATTGTGAGTATTTACAATCTTCCGATGAGAAGGCGAAATCTCAACCGGCGATACAATCCCAGTATATAACGAAAGTTGGGCCCCATGGTTTCAACCACGCGCCCAAACGTTGCACGCTTACTGGGAGTCTGCCGCACAAGCACAGTGACGGTAACGATACGACCGTAATACTATGAATGAGAATAACTAACTATAGTAGTCATTCTTTATAATAATGATCGTGCCTGAACACCGACGAACATGCGATGTGAAACACTGTAAACACATTCCTGCGGAGGGAGCTGGTAGGAACGTTGGGTTGCTCGGTCAATGGCCAGGGTCAACGGCGGTGTGGTGTATTCCGCAAATATGGCCGACTGTGAGGGCGGGCACAAGCCGGCGTGAGTAGGTTAAACGTTGAGTTTTATAAGGGCACCACGGGGTGACCAGCCACTCCCCACCCAGCCCCATCCCTCCCACACCCCACCCAGCCCCACCCAGCCCCTCCCCACCCAGCCCCACCCTCCCAACTCAGCCCTTCCCCACCCTCCCCTCCCCACCCAGGCCCTCCCCACAGTCCCCACCCAGCCCCTCCCCACCCTCCCCTCCCCACCCAACCCCTCCCCACCCTCCCCAGCCAGCCCCTCCCCACCCTCCCCTCTCCGTCCAGCCCCTCCCCACCCTCCCCACCCAGCCCCTCCCCACCCTCCCCACCCTCCTCACCCAGCCCCTCCCCTCTCCACCCAGCCCTACCCCTCCCATTTTTGGATGCACGACGGACGGACGGACACAATAATCCTCTGTGGGCTGGTGGAACCAGGTGGTTCCTACCAATATTTAAAAAAATTAAAGTGGGAAAGGCAGGGGAGAGAGACAGTTTTGGCGTGTCCCCCGTGCAGACCTTTGTGACGTCATATTTTAGGGGGGGTCTGACTTTTTGTGACGCCGTGTGACGAGGGGGGGGGGTCAAAAATCGTGCAACATCGCGTGACGTCATTTATGGACGGCCCCTAAAGCACGATTGCATCCACGTTTTTGTCGTTTAAATGTCATTCAACACGAGCTTTTTTGCCCGTCCAAGGACGGGTGTATATTGCAAATATTCAATAGAATAATTGTTCAGCTCGTGATTATTAACGAGGGGGGTGTTACCCCACAGTGGAGTGACGTCACCCGCTAATGGTTATTGGGGAGGGGTGCGGCATCTGGAGTGACGTCACCCCCTCATGGTTATTGGGGAGGGGTGCGGCATGTGGAGTGACGTCACCCCCTCATGGTTATTGGTGAGGGGTGCGGCATGTGGAGTGCACGACCTTCTTGTGCGTTAGCGTAAATTTCCACGCGGGCATGAATGTGGGCTCTTTTGCAGTGACGTCACTGTGCTGCGTAGATTTATTTTTTACCGTCACTTTCAATAAAGAAACGTCATATTTGAAGCGACGTTGCGTTCAAGTTCAAGTTCATGTATTAGGTATAGCCCTGTGAGCCATTCGGCTCTTGAATCGGGTGCAACCGCAGCAAACAAAAAACAAAAACATGAACAAAAAACACCTTAAAGTGAATATTGGACTAAGTGCAAACAGAAAATCCAAGAAAAGACAGCAAAATAGTGCGGAACAAACACCGTACACATAATAAATTATTTAATTCACCCACTCA